TGAATGGATCGAAAATGCCTGCTACGTTTTTTGCCGTCTATAAGTATGGCATCGAATTAAGATATGAAGAGCTTTACGGATATATAATACACCTTTCCTTCGATCGGTGGAGCAATCGTATTTCTTTCAAACATGCGATACATCTACCCCCTGTACATTTCTCACGCGATATATAATGTAATAGTCTTCTTACGGTCTATCTGTGTTCCTGTTTTTTATCACATCTCGCACATTTACTTGTAGAAATGTTTAAAATATAAATTGATCTCGATTTTCTTTATTTTGAAGTTGAGATTGTGAACTTTTCGCTTTTCTACAAAAATTTTGAAGACAATGTCATATTTGGCGCTTTTTCATTAATATAAAATATTTTTTGCGAACAATATCGACTTTTTCACGTCAAATCGCGTGTCAACGTTTAACGAAATCGCTTAACGAAATATCTCTACATTTGATTCTGTATATTTTTCGTATGGATATATTCGTGGATTTATACAGCAGGAAAGCCGTGTTTTTAGAACACAACGTCGACTGCAGAAGTTGGCTAGTAAAATAAATATGCCATTGTTTGAACAATCTGTAGCGGAGATTTCAACGAACTGGTAAATCGAATCAGAGGCAAATCATCTATACTATATGCAGATCAAGGTTGCCGAAGAACGCATGATTAACCAGTTTGGAGAGGCGGTATTTGAGCGGTAATATAATTGCTATTAGAGTTTGTTTAACACGTGGCTGGAACGAAAATATGCGGATATTCAGGTTTGCGTAAAATGTCACGAATTTTATGATAATTTTATGCAGTATTCTCTAAATTGCTCGTAGAAGAACACTTAGTAAAATTTTACATTTTATTTTTATTCGACATTTTATTTTTTTGTGTTTTAAATGTAATGTGATTAAAAAAATTTTTTTAAACGATTTCTCTTATTTTCAAATATTTTTTAAAAATTTTTTCAAATAAATCCTAATTAAGGAGAAAAAGTCGAAAAGGAACAATGAAAGATTAAAACAGTATTACATACACTTGCAGTTGAACTTGAATTTAAAGTAATTTTTAAAGTATGACGTATTTAATAATCCATTATCAGTCACTAATTGATAATGGATTATTAAATACGTCATACTTTAAATTCAAGTTCAACTGCAAGTGTATGTAACACTGTTTTAATCTTTCATTCTCCTTTTCGACTTTTTCTCCTTAATTAGGATTTATTTGAAAAAATTAAACTGACCTTTCCTACGGCTTGTTCGATAAAACTACCTAAAATTAGCCAAGTGTTTATACGGGTGAAAAAAATACTCTTAGGAAATTGTACGCTCATGCAAATATGACGGGAATTTACGCGCAAATTCGCTTAAACATATCGTTATTTTGACAGACATTTAATTTAAACAGTTTTTAATGTTATATGATACGAATCAATGTTCACGTCTTGAATTTTTTCCTCATAAAATTGTCGACTACACTTTCACACATTAATCAATAGCTTATACGTAAAAACAATATTGTCTGTATGATGTTTTTTCCCTTAGATTAGAAGGATTGTTTATGCTAATTTTATCTTCAATGTCACAACTATGTTAATAACAGTCATATAGTTTTTGTTCTCGATTGTATACAATGTATGTGACCCTAAAAATAACATGATAAGCTGTGTTAGTTATTTTTTATTAAACACGTTAACTTTAACATTAAAAAAAATCTTTTATTATATTTATTATATTTTTGGATGTCTAGATCGATACTTTATTGATACTAGATATTAATAGATAAAATTCGGTAAGAAGAATCATAGTTTAAGAAATTTATTTTTAAATATTTATTTTTAAATCTATATTTCAATAAATCTAGTTTAAAATTTATTTTTTAGTTGATTGATGGACAATGTAATATCAGTTCTAGTTATTATATGTATCAGAGATAACAGAAAATAATTACTTCCTTCAGCAAATCGACAAGTATTAATGTTATAATGCAAATTTCTTCCAAATAAACGAGTAATATTAATTTTTAAATCAAGATTCGCAGAATTTTTTGGAATGGAATCTTCCGCGAATCAGTATTCAAACGAGGCAATATACTTTCTGCTTATTATTCTCTGACAAAGAATTATATAATATTTACCAGTCAAAGATTAGTATCATAATCGAAAGAAATATTCTAAATTATTAATAAAAAAATTTATATAAATTTTATATTTAATATAAAAAAATTTATATAAAGTTTATAAAAATTTATATAAATTTAAAATTAATTTATAAACTTTACATATTATCTCTGAATTAATTTTTAAATTATATAAGTCACGAAAATAAGTCAGGAGGTCAAGAGCAAAATTAAAATTTTGAATTTTCGCTGCATTTTTTTTTCAGCATTCGACTCGCATGTTTGATTTGCATTATTTTCGAACAACAGCATGTGGCCGCGAAGCGGTTTCGCCCGGTCGATCCGTTTAACTGTGTTTTGCGAGATATTTTCATCGACGTGACCAACCCTCGATCGACCGCGGACTGACCCGCGGACTTGAGCCCGGCTCAAATCTGTGCCGAGCCGTAAATGGGCTTTCGAGAGAAAGAGGCTGCGTGTTGTGCGGTTAAGAGTGGTGTTCGCGTGCGCCTAATCGCGAATTGTATCGGCAACGGGGGAGGTTCGCGGTCATTTAGCGGTGACCACGGTGCTAGTCGTTTATCGATCGCCACCTCCGTCCACCTTTTGATATTTCGAGGGGTTTCTGGACGACCTTCCTCCTTCCGCATGTCCGAAACGCGTATGACGTCAATCGCAAAAATTACCACATCTCGCCTCTTCCCTGTGTGTGCGTTAATACACTCGCGTCGACCTTTATTTCGATTTATCGTGTCTCTGAAAAATATCAAAGATCATAAAGATTTTTAATCTCGATAAGAATATATCAATTTAGCGTGCGAAATTTTAGCTTTATTTTGTCGTTTTCCAGAGAAAAGAGAATTAATTAAAATTCATTCGTCTTCTCTTGTCCAGGTTTAATTCTCCTCCCTAATAAAGTGTCTATAACCGAAGCAGTCCCATTCTTTGCAGTCAAACAGAATATTATTATAGAATATTATTTATCATAAATATTCAATTAAATATGACATTCGTTATAATTCGTTACGTCAGCTGTATTTCTGTTTATATTTTTAGAAATGATTATCGAGAGATATTTCTGCCTTAAGAGATGTCTTATTAATTTACAAGAAGGATGTAATTATTTATCTTCTATCGTATATTTACATAATTCTCAAGAACATAATTCACAATGTCCTTTATGTCAACGAATTTAACAGTGTATGGCGTGTATGATATAATTGATCCGTATTCTATCCTATCTGTATTATATAAACTATGTTGGACAATTATTAATGTGAACTATATATTTATCTCCTTATTATTCATGCCTGAATTGACTTCGCGATATCGCTGCGATGCGATTAATGATACTTCATTTCCGTACACTTTTCAAATACATAACATACAGTTCATTGATGATAAAGAAAAATTTTCAAAATTACATTCGCGAGTGTCATGATAATAAATGATATATGAATCATCGCGATATCAACGTAAATAATTTATGAGCCGATGTTTAAAGTCATTGTCAGAGAAATTTATCACGGTAAATATGTGTGATTCGTTCAAAGATAAAACAAGTTAACTACATCTGTAATTATATCTTGTTTATTTTGAAATGCATTATTAACTTTAATTATTAATTAACTGTTATTTTTTTCAATGAATCATTAAGTAAAATCACATTAAATATAATATAAAACATATTTTTTTAGGTATGTTTACATCGTATATATCATAAAACGAAAATAAGCACATTTATATCATAAAACGAAAATAAGCACATTTATATACATAAAAAAAATTGCTTACTTTATAACACTTATTCGATAAATAATGCACGCAAATTTTGACGCAATAATACGCTGGTAGAAAATAAAATTATCCGGAAGAACCTGTGTGTTTTGATGCAACTGTACATCATAGTATTACATCTTGCTCTCTTTATCCGGCAATAACGGTACCAATCTGATGGTACCGATCTATTATCGCCATTATTGCGCGATTTACGGGGTGTGTCTGCCGTCACTTGTGATTTAGACTCCGTTGGGATAATTACATTAAATACACGCGTGAAGCGGCGTAATTCACCGTGTTTGGTTCTCTTCACAGTCGATTTATTTCTCTCTTTTTGGAGGAAAAGAGATTGCGATGCCTCCTTTCCGCTCCTGTCAATTTTAGAGAAGACGACGCGGTCTCGGTATCTTATATAAAGCTATAAAGAATTCATTCTTCGACAGTTATATTCTGTCTCGTTGATTGATCAGGCCGATAAATTTACGATCGCAGACAATGATAAGACCTTTTCCGTATTAAGGCACCGCAACACGCGATAAAATTGCACTCGACCTAGTTTTACTGCGGATTGACGTGACCTCAGATAGGCGTCAGTTTGCAGACCGCGATCGGAAATCGAGAAGCGTACGCGATGTATAACGGTCGCCCGATTGTTGTATCTGTCGCCAACTTTTTTATGACGTGCAATAAAAATCTGTCGCATCGAAATTAATCTTTTCCCTCTTCGCATCTCTTCCCCTTTAGAGACAATTGAATTAAATTGTAAAAAGAATTAAAATTTGAAACTTGGAAATTAAAATCAATATCCACGTTTATTCATGATTAGTAACTTATGAGTGGAAATTGAAACTTGCGAAATGATATAATCTTTAATCCTATTAAATTATGTCGATTCCTATTACGAGAGATACGAGACAATCTTTTTACAGTTAATGGCGAAAAGAATTATATCACTTATTGATCAACTGTTAATAATAAGTCGTGACGTACCTTTCGATAAAGCTAATAATTATTTCTTTTATCAAGACACGGAAATTTCCAGTTTTATCGAACATAAACATCGATATGGAATTCATATTCATGTTCATAATTATATTTTTCTTGCTTTCAGGATATGCGAGAGGCAAAGGGATGCTGACAGGCGAAACGACAACAGGAACGAGGATGACGACGAGGATGAAAATCCTCTCGGGAAGTGGCCGCACGCTTTCAGTTCGGTCCTCGCGTGTCTCGGCTGCACCTTGGGACTTTTTAATATCAGTAGATTCGCCATTCTTAGTGTACAGTTTGGAGGTGAGTGTATATATCATGTGTCAATCATAAGAGTGTCATGGGCAGACTTTATTAAAGTTTTATTAATTTTTTTTTGCGATTTTTTACTACAACGGATTATTGTAAGACGGAACAAAGAAAATTATGATGTGTACAAGACGCGTAAATTTTCTAGAGTTACTCAGGGAAACTGAGACCGATCTTATTTCGAGATTCGGATCGCATTTCGGCGATTCTCAGCGCGCAAAATCCGATATCTCTTTATATTTATTCACAATTAATGAAACTGCATGGAAATACATCGTGACGTACTTTCCGATAAAGCCAATAATTAGGTTCGAAGTTAATTGCGAAGGTAATAATTGATTTCGCAAAAAGAGGCGTGATTATTCACATGGAATAACGTTGTTTACAATCGCGATCATTTTTCTCGTTATAAAAGAGAGATTTTAAAAATTTTTTCTTTATTCACGGCATTTTCTCCGTTTCAGCAAACTTCATTGTACAGTTCCTGATTTTATCATTTATACTGGGCATCCCGCTACTGACGTTACAAGTATGTCTTGGGCAAAGACTGGCGGCCGGTTCCGTGGATATGTGGAGAATTTCGCCGCTTTTTCAAGGTGTCGGAATAGCCCTGCTAACCGCACAGGCTTTTATCGGCATCTACAGCATAGTCGGAGTATCGTGGATGTTCGTGTATTTCAGGTATATTCCGACGCTCACTTGGAAATATATTTCATGTGATGATAAATTATACGCGTAATAACAGCGAATGAATACAGTTAAAATATGAAGAAATAAAATTTGAAAAAAGTGATGGAAAATTGACATACAAAATTGTAGAATAGTAATTATTTGAGTTTTAATCTCATTCCACCGACTGGAATAATTGATAAAGTAAAAGTGTTAATTGAATTTTCAATAAGAAATTCAATTTCATAAAAGTTTGCATATCTTGATCGATTCGAGTAAATAAATTAGAAAACTTAATGAAAAGTTACAGATGATTTGACAGCAACTATATCGAATTAATGCACTATATTTGTATGCGCGGAGAAAATATTATAGTAAAGATTACAATATATAATTTTTGTAATTGTAGAGCAAATAAGAAAAAATCAGGATATTTTTATTCCCAATAATATTATACATGTATTATATTTTACAAAAAATATATTGTAATTATTCAAATATTTTGCACAAACAAATGCATAATTTATAATTTTTATAATAATAAAAAATATCCTAATGTTGTTACATTTTAACTTTACAATAAATGTGTTAAAGAGGAATCATATTTTTCATGTAATTTGTATAAAATTTTTTTCTCTGATTTTTTGCAATCTTTTGATCTCGATATTTTTTTCAAGCCTCTATTTCCATCACTTATATGCGTATATCGGATATTAATATCACGCCGTGTTGATCAAGTAGGACGAAACGCATGGTACATTGATTGCAGAGATTCGTTCATAACGAAGCAGGACAGGTATCGATGGGCGGAGCCGTTTCTTCTCTATCGAGATGATAGCCGTCCCACGCACAATACCACATCGTACAAATTATACGAGACGGTTCCGGATTACTTTAGCGGCGCCGTATTACAGAGACACCACTTGAACGAAGCCGATCCCGGTGCCGTCACATTAAAGTTTCAAGTGGCCTTCAATTTAGCCGTCGTGTGGATGATTGTATTTGTTTCGCTGAGTAAAGGTGAGGTATTAAAACGAAAAAAAATTCCCTTGACCGCAGTTTGTAACTTGCTAATTTTTCATGACAGAATTTTACCGATCCTCTCATACAAGAATCGATTGTTAAAAGACTAAGAAATTATTTAAAACTGTTTTATATACGTACAAACTGGGTTATATGTATAATTTAGCTTTATGACCTCAACTATCTCTGCAATTATTGAAAAATGTTTTCAATAAAAATTTTAGAAAGAATATATGATGCATATAATAAATTTCTTATAGCGTACACTTTTTAATTATTTTAATTATTTTAACTGTTCATATATAAAACAATTTAACTCATAACATCAGGGATAATTTAAGTCATAAAAATATTCCGTATTTATTTAGGGAAATAATTTTTATATTTACTTGTTATATTAATTTTTATATTTATATAATGTGAAAAAGAAAAATTTGTCATTATCAAATCTTGCGATAATTGTGCGAAAAATTTAATTTCTATTTTTATTTAGGACTGAGATCTTACGGAAAGGTTGTGTACGTTTTTACGCTGGTGCCCGCATTCGGTACATTAGTCCTTTGCGCAAAGATGCTAGGACTTACTCCGCCGACAGGTTCAGTGGGTCAATATTTCCCTGCCACTGTTTGGAGCGAATTCTTCATTAATGGAAAGTCATGGGTGGCTGCTTCAAACGAGGTCTTCCTCACGTGGGGTTTACTCGGTGCGGCCGCTATGCAGGTAATTCCTATTGTCACAGGTGTTCCTATTGTCGCATCTCAATTTTCTTTCTACGCGAAAGCATAATTATATATATATATATATATATATATATATATATATATATATATAAAATAAATAAAGAGAAAGAAAAAAAATATATATATATATATATATTTTTTTTCTTTCTCTTTATTCGATTTTATATCTCTCTTTTTTGCGATTGGATTCTTTTTCGTAAATCATAGCTAATATGTTGGAATACTTGAATTTCAGATAGCGGCTCACAACAAGCACAAGCAGGTCCTGCAGCGAGATACGACTATCGTGGTGATCCTGACATTTACGGTGCTTCTACTCGGGGCTTTCTTAGCGAATACCTGTGTACAAATCCTCAAACTTCACGGTTACATTTACACCACTAGTTCCTTTGGTAAGTACAATCGGACAATCGGATCAACACGACGCATTATCATTTTTGGACAATTTTACAGAGAGAATATCAGGGTACACGTTTATGAGGTTCGCCAATAAACCGGCACCATCGGGCTACAGCACTACGCCGGAGAGATTCATGTCTCACGGGTCCTTCCTCCTTGGTCAACGTGTAATACGACCTGGCGTGGACACGAGTACCGAGTCCGGATATCAGGTGTTACGTCTGGCCACTGAATTAGTACCCGCGACGCTGGCATTGTTGGGCACCGAACAGGTGTCGCCGTTCTGGGCGGTTCTATTTTATTTTATCCTCATCTTATTTGGGATCGCACAACAGGTATGTATAGTTTTTATAGCGAAAAACTATAAATTAGAGCATATCTAAATATGTGTAGTTACCATCTTATATAACAATATAAAAAAGCTTATATGCTTCTTTAATTATTTCAGTTGGCGATCTGGCATTGCGTAATAACTGGTATAATGGCAATCAATACAAAAATGATGAAGCTTTGGGAAACTACCATTACGTTTTTCAGCTGTGCTTGTGCCTACATACTCGGATTGCCTATGGCTACGGAGGTATGTTAAAATTTCTTAATAGTACACGCTAATTTAAAAGTAATTAATCTTTGTTCGAAAAATTAAATTTATCGTCTTACTTATCGAAAGATATAATTAGTGAAACAAAATACTTATCACTCATAAATATTTATATTATTAATTACGACACACACTTTTTTAATTTATATGTGACACGCACAAGTGTCTAATAACGACGCAGCTCGGATGTATCTGTAGTATTATCTCTATATAAAGTTTTATCAGATAGGGCGTACAATCTTTCGTTTGCTCAGAGAATTATCAGCGCAAGTTTTAGTCCCGCTCCGCGCCCAGTATTACAAGCGCTTTCATATTAAACGAAAGATGAGTAATAACGTTCACGCGATAGTTCGTCGTAGCGTACCTTGCTACTTTTGCAATGAATTCTTGGAGGAAAAATTCTTGACGGAACATATCACACAGTGCGCGTCGGTATTGGAAGAGTGTCCCAACAAATGCGGGGTTTACATTTCCCGCAGGAATCTGGAGGAACATCGGAAATCGTGCAACAGAAAACTGTCGAGGAGAAATAATCAAATAAAAGAGATACAAGATTCGGTGTGGAAGGAAAAGGTGTTCTCGGTATTAACATTATTGCGCCTGGCTATCGATCAGGGAGAAAAAGAGCGAATTCATCTGCAGGACGACCTTTCTAGGAACTTGAGCTTGCTGTACTCCCAGCAAGAATCTCTCACCGCGTTACAATCGAATATCGCAGAAGTGGTCGAGGATTATCGCGGTAATGACGCAATACTGAACCTGAGATTAAACGACTTGGAGATGATTACTGACAATATACAGCATCGCGTTAATTTGAGTTTTCGGCAGGTATCTGAACAGTTGAAGATATTCGAGGAAAGATTGATGAGTGAGCAAAACAAACCTGCGTCAAACGATTGGTGTAAAGAATTAAAAGATGTAAAGACGTTTGTCGCTAAGGAGAGTGTACGCACGAGCGATATGTGGCAGGAATACTCGCAGCGTGTCAATGATTTGAAACTAGAATTAGAAATGAGATGTAAGGATTCGAAGGACCTGACGTTCAAGTGTGACACTTTGTCGAAAAGGCTCGATAGTTTAGCGGAAGAAATTCTCAAGTGTTCCGAAAACACGGGCAAACAGAAGTCGGATCTGAAAGGTCTCAAGTTTCAGATGAAGGAGAATTTGAGATACATCGAGGAATTGATCGCGGAAAATTGCAGACCGGCACCTTTGCTAACGAGTTCTTCCTCGTGCTCCTGTGCGGAAGGTGTCTCAACAAACGGTCGCATTATATGGCGAATCGATTATTATAAAGAGAAGATGAACGAAGCGAAGGAGAACGGTCGCGCACTTTACAGCCCGATATTTTACGATAAAGAATACGGTTACACCCTAAGAATGGAATTATTTCTGAACGGTAAAGGGCAGTGGAAGGATCGCCATATTATCGGATGCTTGCGCGTGGAGAATGGGAAATGGGATCCTCTGTTGAGTTGGCCTTGCATACTTCGAGCTATTGTGATTCTTCGAGATCAGGACAATCCCGCGAACGATGTTAGAAAGATCGTGAAGACCATAGGTCGAGATAAAAATGATTCTAATGAGCCTGATAAGGAATCCGAGCTGTACATGTTTGTTCCACATACCACGTTAAACAGATATGCCAGTTACACCAAGAATAATGTCATGTTTTTAGACGTGCAAGTGAAGGATATAAGAACAAGTGTTTCGATGACGTCATTAATAGCTCAATAATTGTAACTTTTCTTTAGCAATACCAATAACGATAAAGCTGACGATAACGATAAATGGTAATATTTGGGAATATTGACAAATCTTATTGATAATGATAATGATCCTAACGGAAACATATATTTACTATATCTATTATTATATATATTATATGTATTATATTATTATTTATCAAGCAAATTTATATTATATATAGATTTATGAGAGAAAATATTATTTCTAATTAACAATCTCTCAAAAGATAATATTTTTATTCTTAAATATAACAATTTTAATCGATGAATTTTAATTAAGGACTATAAATTATCTTTTATATTCTTATTATATACTGTGTGCTTACAGTTGGGTATCTACGTCGTATACTATCTGGATTATACCGTCGGTGGGGCGTGGTGGATAATCGTGCTATACCTAGTGCAAGTCGGCGCCGTGTTTGCGGTTCGCGGACGGCCGCACACCGGCGAGGCGGTCGTCGCCGAATTATTCCCACCGACTAGTGGACGTTGCCTCAGATATTGGGCCGGACCTTTGTTATCCTTCACCTGGAACGTCATTCTTCCTGTCACTTTGATGGTGAGTTCAATTGTTGCTTAGAAATATCATGCAACGGCACGTTAACCATTGTTATTATGCTATTTTTAGGTTCTCAGCATCACGATATTCAAGAGCAGCGGCTTCCGGGAATTGTACTCTTATCGTCGTACGAGCAAAGATTATTGGGCTGTTTGGGCAAGGCAACTCGGGACGTCGATTCAGCTGATACCGATTCTGATGATACCAGCAGTGGCTATCATACAGACGTGTCGATATCTGAACAGTGGACCACCCGATATATTCGACGTAAATATTCCTGCTTATGTCGAAACTTAGAACTTGCATTTTTTCAACATTAATCGGAAAAATAGATAATAAATCCGCACGAAATAAAAAAAATAAAAAATTATAAAAAATATTTATTGTCTAAAAAGTCAGAAATTATTTATCTTTCATGTAATTTCTATCTTTCTGTTCGTGCTGACGATAGAACGAACAAGTGGAAATAACAGTAAATCACTGTGAACAGTGTAACGGAGTAAGTTCTCATTAAATTCTGCAATTTTGCATGAATAAATAAACGTGTTACACAGTGATATCACACATTCTATATCACACGTACTCTCCTTAATATATAATTTTCTCAACATATAAATAATACTCCAGTTCTTCAATCTTATTAATTTCTTATAGAGAATTCAACTACTTTATCGGCCACCGTTGGAGCCGGAGGATCCTCGCGACGCGCAGACCCAAATCGGGAATGACACTAACACCGGCAGCTTACACGGTAATGGAATCCTGCCTACCGTGACCACGGAAATACCGTTCGAGGATCCGCCGCCCAAGTATACTCCGCCACCGAGCTACACCACGGCGACCGGCGCGAGGATCGCGAAGATGCTGCGTCAGAGTTTCCGACGAAGCGTGCGAAGGATCGCGAATGTCTTGGGGGAGAGTAGCGCGCCACGACAGAGACCAGCGTTACAACAACCGCCGCCGCCCCCGCCACCGGATTACGCGACCGTGCTGGTGGAAATGAATCAGAGCATCGGCGTACCGATTACACGCGATCAAGTCGCGATACACGTGCCTTTGGAGCCGCGGCCGGACGTGACCAACATCGGGAGAAGCGGGCAACAACAGGACGCGGACCGCCGAGCTTCGGACGAGCGTCGGCACGTTCGGCCGAACACCATCGACCGCGCCAGCCGAATCGGTATCGCGATCGAGAGGTCGCGTGCCATTGAACGTACTTACTCGTCGACCCTCGACCGAGGGCGCCGATCGAACAACGTCGCGAACGCCACTCTGTCCGGCTCGAACTTGACGGCCACCGACGTGGCGAACTTGCTGCGTAGCAGTATACGAAGAGGCACCGCGAGGACGCATCAATCTCTGCGTAGGAGCTTTTGCCATGAGGAGCCGACGACGGCAGCGTCCGTCGAGAATCTAGTCGAGGCTGCCGCGCCTATCGGCCAGGACTCCCTAATCCTATCGAAGGACGCATCTCTAGTCTCCGGCGAACAGATCAACGAGCATTGTCGCCGCAACGACAACGGCGACGGTAACGACGGCAACGATGAAAAAAAGACTGCGAGCGAAATGGAGAGTTCCGTTTCTGTGATATAGACTGAGAATATCGGCGGTCGCATCCTATTGATGCGCGATGCGCGCGGCTAAATCTCAACGCGTTGATTTTAAATCAACTTTGATTCTGATTAGCGATTCGCTGCCTCTTTCTATAAATTGTAACTTTCTACCTGTAATGTAGACGGGGAGAATATCTTCTTAATCGGAGTCGCGACGCTAATTCTCTTGGGTAGTCTCCAGTGTTTGAATCCTCCTGAAATTAGAACGTTATTTTCTCCTCTCGTGTGCCTGAGCATGTGCGTGTTATTACTTCGAAGTACTTTTGTATTCTTACGAGATATTTATTTCTTAATATATAGTATATATATCTTCGTTAAATATTTAGAGAAAAAATAAAATTTCGCATGATGCAGTTCAATGCACACTTTCGAATATCTTGAACCTTCGCTACATTTGTATATTCAATGTTAAGATCTGTTATATGATTTTAGTCCCATTTAATTCCATGATGAATGCAATTTTCTTATTGGAGTTAATTAAAAAAATTCGGAGTCAGAAATTGCAGCCACAATTCCAAACACAATCATGTAAATATGGGCTGGTATCCCCGTGAATAATTAATCAAAAAAATTATTATGCTGTTACTGTAATAAAGAAATGCAGTATTTAATAATCATGTTAAGAAGTGTACTGATCTCCTGTCTCCCTGCTTTTTTGCCTAAAAATTATATAAAATGACTGAAAAATAAACTAAACAAATAAACAATCAGATAAATAAGATAATTAAGAAATACATAAAATTCCTTAGAGCTTCTTAGCTGGAAGCTTGAATCTAGTTTTTTAATTTTAGAAACGTTACTTGAAATTCGTTAGCACGTATTACGGCGTTCTTGTCGGATATCGTGGACAATATCCGTATGTATAATATATCTGTGTATTTGTCATCGTTATTAATTCTGTAAATACATGCAACATTTTAGCGAATTAAACTACATTATACATTTAAAGTCGATCGTAAACTCGCAAAGCATCCCTTTCGTTAGCCTGATTGACGCTGATTTATTGTAATATGAATATGTATAGTCCGTCCATGTTGCCGATGTATTTTTCTGTTGACAAATTCAACAATCGCCGCAAAAGCGCTTTATAACTATTATATAACGAGCTAGATCGATTTCCATAATATCTTTATTCGAGTGAAAGCCATTCAGCATTACGTCGAAAATAAAATTATAATCGTGTAAACACATGAGCTCTTATACGTACTCTGTAGCATAAATATTCAGAGATATTCAATTTTCCATAAGTAAGTGTAACTGTTATACCTGATATTATGGACCATAATAAAGTTTTTATGTTCTTGTAAATGTCTTATTGTTTAATCATTTTTCCAAAATCTTTTTATTGCATGGCGAAAAAGAAAGAAAAATGATATTTGAATGTGAAATTTATCTAACATTAATTTTATAAATCATGATAAATTATATATATATATATATATATATATATATATATATATATGCATATATCCATTTTTTACTTTTTATTTTATTGCTCATTTTAAAAAATCTTACTATTCGATAATTACCTCACAAATTTCTCTGAGGCAAATAATAAAAAATTTGAAGCATTTGATAAAGAGTATCTATATAATTATTTCTATTTTTATAAATACAAAACGTTAATTCAATAATAAATTTTTAGTTTTATGTTTTTTATGCTATAACAATCTTAATCCTATGGTTTAAGAATTCTAAATTTTAAATTATTTACGGATTTTATATGATAACTTTTTTAAATAAAAAATATTCTAATGTATAAGAAGAAAAAATGATTTCAATTATGATATTAATTTAATATATGATTAATTTATAAATATTGCATCAATTATATATATAAATCTAAAAATAATAATATAGTGTAAAGATTAATATTATGTATTTCTTTTCATGAGAAATGTGGGACGCACATTTATGCATTTATTTATTTAGATGAGAATTACTTTAGAGCGCATTCAAACATTTAATTTTAATTTTATGTAATTTTATATATAATTAATTTTTTATCTTTCTTATGATATATAAATAGTGTAATTACCTACAAATACTGTCATTTTTGTGTGCTTATTATATTGCAAAAACAACATTACGAATGCTATATTTATAGATTTAACATCTGTATGATAAAAAAAGCACCAAAAGTATAATGGTGGTAAAAGAGTAATATTGTAAGCCAGCATAAGAATCAACCAATTATTCCACCGCTCTGTTTCATTAAATTTGCAAATTTCTTTTATGATATTATAAATAAGATAAGATTTAGGCATGTTCCAAATAAATTTATACATCTTATATATGTAATATTGCACATATTAAAAAGTGATAATATCGCGATTGTAATAAGATACAATTCTGGCAATGCAGTGATTTTTGAAACCCACTGAAAATAATTTAATTTGATTTGTTTTTGAGAATTACGCGTAATACTTAAGAGCAAATTATTTTTGTGCCATATATTACCTGTGTAAAATTTCATGCATAGTATCGTATTGTCTGCGATACGTGAAAAACTTCATGAAAAACTTGATGAAATAATGTGATTGAATACGATTGAGATGTAAGAAAAGTAACATAGTATTCGTAATGAATAACATTAATGTGTTATTGTTATAGCATGAAAACATAAATATTTTGTATTTTAATTTCATGTAATTGAGATAAGATACAACACTCATGATTATTTTAAAAATGTGTCCACAAATATCATTTAACTTTAATAGCTGCAAATTCGTCAAATTAATACTATTACGTTAAATGCATCGTCACAGTAACTTCTTTTAATTAATTTAATCTAACCTAACCAATTATATTATATGCTCCTTATTAAAAATGTGTAACTATACGTCGCACATTTAATACGATTAATATACTACGTAATAAAATGTATTACACTAATGATCAAATATTATTTTTAAAAGCACAGTAAAATCCACGCAGCATATATGCTCGTGTTTACATTCAACATCCGAAGACTTGGAAGGTTAGGTTAGATTAGGCTAGATCGAAAAAGTTATCGTTTGACAGTTGGCATCCCTACAAGATTCCTGTGCAAGCAGTGCACGCGCGCATACAAAATAAACTTCAAATCGCTTCTAGTTTAACCATCTTCACGCGATCGGCTTTATTTAAAATGCATCGCGTCGCATCGAATTATGATGCGGCGCCGATTCGCCCAAACGTAATTCGAGACATCGCAATGCTGTATAAACGTCGATGAGCACGAATTGTCACGCAAATCAAATCGACTCACCGTTCATCGGCTGTTCCACAGATCGCTCCATTCGCTCGTCTCGGGATATCTCATTTCGATCTTGATGCACACAAACTCACAGGATATCATCAACGCGAACACGCGACACTTTATTCGGCACTCCCGATACTCGCTCGCATCCGATAATCATCATCAAAGGCGCGAATAACGCAACGCGACTTCGCTCCACCTTCGCGATGACGCCACTGAATACTGTCAAAAACAGTTGTCGCGCGCTTCCATCGCTGTATTATGAAAGTCGCGCGATCATCCTTGGACACTCTCAACGCTCGTTCACTCGCGATATTCGTTTATTTACGGTTAAAAGACGCGAAAAATGCAGATGTACGACGATCCGTGTAACTGCGTATGACTCCGATTCGCGTAGGACGAATGCAATGACGTAACTAACATGGCGGCCCAACCAGTGCGCATTCGTTTCTGAGCATGGCCATTACTGCGCATGGCCATTAAGCGCTCAACGTTCGCGCTACTTTGATTTCTGAATATTGCCTATGACTTTAATTAATAATAAATATATAAAGATAAAATCAATTAATCGTATTAGTCATATTATTAGTCGTTAGTCATATTATGTAGATTTGTTCGAAGAAAGAGAGAAAAAATTGAGATATTTTTAATTTCCTATAGTAAAGAATGGAAATATCTATTCATATTCTTGTTTTTCTTTTCCTCTTTCGCGCGATTTCGATTTAATATATAATGAAGAAAATATTGGATATATTTTTGTACAGCATATTGGATATATTTTTGTATATGCACTATAATATTCCCGCGGACATTTTTTAACACTTACAATATTCGTATATATACTACCTTGTTCTTGATATTCTCTTTTAAAAGAATAAAAAGGAGCGAATATAATCCATCCGATTTTCACTGTCTGAAAATGACGGCAGTTTGATGTCAGCACAGTTTTTTTCACGATGCGTTTAGTTATTGTAAATTTAAATCAATGAGAAATAATCGACTAATAAATTTTAGATTACAATAGAAATGCAAACAAAGAAAATTATTATATCTAAAATAATAATTTAATTTGAAATATAATCTTTCTTCCCCAATCTTTATTTCCTAATATCTTTATTTCTACTTATGTGCAAACAAAAACGCAATTTGTTTGAAAATGTGCAAACGAAAATCTATGAATTAAGCCTTAGGTTAAGAAAAGAATTTTGCAAAATTTGTCAAAATAAACCTAATGAAATTGTCAATAAGTAATCCCGCATATTTATATTTTTATTTATATTATTTATTTTATTAGAGAGGCTCAGTCTTTGTCATTTTATACAAAATGTAACAAAGATATATAGATGTATTCGTGTCACAATTGTTATTTTTATTAAACGGTTATTGTTGATATTTGCTGAGTTGCGAAGAGTTAACGCGTTACATATAATATCGTTACTGTTACCGTTACTTTTTTTCAGTAATGATCGTTACTTTTTTCTGTTTATAACAATAATGGTAACGTCGTTACATTTTTACAGTAACGGTAACGAATTTAACCGTTACTTTTATCGTTACTTTAATTCTGTAATCCTGGATAGTATCCTCTTAGTAATTGAAAAATCTATTTCTATTACAAAACAGTTTACAAATATTTTAGAAAATTATATACATGCATGATGTTTTCTCTGTATTCATAAATATAAAATTTCTAAATTACAATAAATGAAAAATTGAATATGAAGAACATCAATGAAGGATTAATTTATAATTTTCAAATATATAAAAGTAATAATTATATTTTAAAATAAATTAATTTAATTTTTGTATTATAAAAAGTAAAGAAGAAATAACGAATCGTTGCTTTCTTAGTAATGGTAACGGTAACGAGTTACTCGCATGTCGATGTATAACCAAAAACTAAGCATAACCAAAACGGTACCAACTTTTTTGAAGCGTTACTTTTTTGAAAAAACCCCCCCTCTGGATATTTCACAAAATTTTGAAAGTAATTCTGTTGACTTTTGATTTCGAAAAAGCGCATTTGTATCTTGCTTTCAATATTTAAAATATATTGCATTTGTATCTTGCTTTCAATATTTGAAGTATTTTGCTGTATAAATCCGAAATAATCTGCTGATTGTGTCAAGTTGCTTGTCTAAAACAGATTATATCGGTATTAAGTATTAGCGTAAATAGCCAATAATTATTAATAAATATTATATTAAATATTATTTGTGTATGTGTGTGTGTGTCTATATATATATATATATATATATATATATATATATATATATAATATTAATACATTTACTACATATATATAATACATATAATAATAATAATAATCTTAAATATAATAGGAATAAATAATAATTATGGATTATGAAAACTACAAATTTGCTGAAATGAGAATAAAATCATTCTTCTATTGTACTATGTGTTCTATTATATTATGTGCATTGTGTTGCACTATATTTTACTTAACAACTCTTTTGTTTACAAGGAATGCTTATAAGTAATACTGTATAAGTAACTTTCAACAAATAAAAATCAAAATTTAGAATTAGAGATTTTAAAAATAAAATTAGAAATTTATATGAGCTGTAGCTGTCACAGAGATAATATCATTATAATATTATAACATTAAAACTGTTATATCTAGCAAGTGCATTAATTCTTCTTAACTTATGCATCTTTATTAAATTTTCGTAAACAAATGGCTCGTGTAATATTAAAGTATGCGAATTACATTACGTAATACTTTTTAAAATTTAAATTTATTTAAATGTTTTTCAATATTGAGAAATTAAGAAAAATGTTTTTCAATGTTGAGAAATTAAGAGCTAAACATCTAAATTAACTAAGATTTAAATACACGCTGAAGCTTGTAAGTTCTCTTTTTAAAATTTATATAAATCCATTTTCACTAAAATTTCCAAGTAAAGAAATTCTCTTTCTTTTTTGCTTTTGCTTGCTCGCACACTCATCTCCACTTTCTCATTCATTAAAAATTACATATTTCCAAAATAATATATTTTCGAAAATTAGAAATAAAACTATGCTTATTTTATAAAAAAAAATTTAATGACATTAATTTTTGTTTACTTTGGGATACTGTAACATTAATACATTCTGTATGAAAACAAAAAATTAATGATTAATAAATGAAATATTAGTATAATAATATTCATAAAATTCACCTTTACTTTCGTAATTCTTTCTTTCACAAAAAACCGTAACTCTTTACATTCATTTAATTCAGCTTGCGTTACATTAACAAATTTATCTCTTAGCAAGTTGCTTATCTAAAACAGATTATTTTGATGATATTAAACAGCAATATTTGATGTCGCATGATTATTTATTTTACATATATGTATATATATATATGTATATATATATATATATATATATATATATACATATGCACATGCAATTTTTACCTTTTGGAGTTCATTTGTGGAATACACATGATTAATAATTACAATAAATGTTGCATACTCGCTGATTTGTCTATAACAGTAAAATAATAAATTTATTGACACATATATAAATTGTTGAATGGTAGATATATATTTACGAAGAAAACTGTATTACCTGGGTCTTATGTTCTCAAGTTCTTCTAATATGAAGTCGAGTACCACAGGATTCCTCGCGTGCTTCGCGATAGTAAAAAGAAAATAATTAATATAATCTTTATCGGAAAAATCTTTGAAAAACATAATCGATGTTGTACTATCATTTTTTATTAGGTTTAAATAGGGTATGATAAATATTGAATCCTCAGGGCAAGACAGATATTTTAAAAATTTAGTTTTAAATTTTTCTTTTCCCAGACGATATACTTTCCACCAAGGAGAATCCTCCATACTTTCATAGCTAAGAGGATAGTACAATATTTTTAAACCTTGACAATATGTCCATTCTTTCCACCATGGCAAAAGCCTATGAGATTTAACAAAAAACAAATTCTCATATAAAAGTTTTGCACATATTAATCTTATATTTTGATTAAATAATTTAACAAATTATAATTTCATAACATAACATAATAAATTTAAATTTTGATCAAATAATGTAATAAACATTCCACATGTATTTACAAAACAATCAAATTAAAATAACCCAGAATATATAAGAAAAATTACGTGTTATTTTCCGGATCTTCGAGATGTCGATTTAAATTAAGTCGGGCATTTTTTATGCATGTTTCACTATTAAGATTACATGCCCATTTCGCAGCCTCCATTCTTAAACTCTTTGTAAGATCGTATTCATTAGAAACTTCATCGTATTTAAGTTTAATAAGCAAGTTGTTTAGTAAGTATAGCATTTTCTCCTAAATATATAAATAAATAAATATATAAATATATATATATATACAGGGTGTTCCAAAACTCGTAATCAATCTTTCAAAAACAGATTCCTGGGATCATCCGAAGACGATTTTGCCTCAACGAAAATGTCGAGGCATTAATAATTTTCGAAGTATAAGTGATTGAAAATAAGAGATTTTTCGTAAACTAAGCTTTGCAGAAATAAAATATTAACAAAACCATATTCTTCGATTAATTTTAAATAGAGTTTACTTTAGTTGAGTTTTAATTTAAGACTTAATTGCAAAGATATATGATGACAAAATTCGGGAACATGCAAAAAATGATGGCCTTCATCAACATTTTCGCTGAGGAAAAATCGTCTTCAAATGATCCCAGGAATCTGTCTTTGAAAGATTGATTATATGTTTTATATATGTATGTATGTGCGTGCGCGCGCGCGCGCGCGTGTGTGTGTGTGTGTACAGGGTGTCTTATTTTAAATTGCCCAGGCAAATATTTCGGAAAATAATGAAAAATCGAAAAAATGTTTCAGATAAAAGTTGTATGATTTGTAGAGAGATATAAGATAGTGCCATTGATTTGATCTTGAAGATTTACATAAAGATTACGTAAAGGTCATTTTGAATTTCTTAAATGGAATAACCTACATATTTTTGCACATTCTTATATGCTTATCTCAAGAGCTTTCCAAAACAATATAAATAAACATTTTTTCATCAAGTACATTTCGAGTTATGAGGCTTGAAATAATTTCTTAATTTTACATAAACCATAAAATATCTTGTAAAATATTCATTTTTTGATTATCTTACCTTAATACTTTTATGTACAAAATAATGAGAGGAATCAATTGGTGTAAAGAAAACATACAGTTGTTTTTATATGTATGTATGTATATATATATATATATATATATATATATATATATATATATAGAATATATATTTATATTGTTAATTGATATAAATTTTATATTTTTTGATTCTTGCATTATATTATGCTATATGATAGAAAGATATCTTGCGCAATTGTATTTTACATATTAAGAAGGTTTATATATTAAGAATATTCTGTCTTTGTAAACAACTCTAAATTCTTTTTATAAAGATATCTATCTTGTATAGCTATACTTATATATACGTATTTATACACAAATTTGAATTTTTCTTGCATATTCACACATGCTTAACACATGTTCATATCACAAAATAAACATACAGAAGTGCATACATGCATACATTGTAGACATGTAGACATAAATGTAGACATTATATCTATTGTATAATATAATTTAATAATTTATTAACTCTTTTGTGTATTAAACACACAGACAATTAATATATATGTCTCCCTACTAACATTCTATCTTAAAATTAATGATATTTAAATCGTCATTATAAATATTATGCTGTGATTAAAAATGATAACAATTTTCCAATTTTTCTCCTTTTTCCTCTCCAACTTCTTATAATATTAGTACATACACTATTCCAATGTTAATTTACATATATATTTAACTTTCATTTCCAAAATATGTATATTTAAACCTTTATATCTAATCAAATTTTTTCTAGCTACATTTTATTGTATGTATCTTTTTGAAAAACACTTAATAATTATAAATTAAACAAAGTTAAAGGCTCCTCTAAATTAACAAAACTAAATGAATAATGAAAGGTAATAAAGAGCCAACGCAGTTGTGGGGCGTGGATAAAATAATTTCCAAAGTAGCGATTCAATTTTAACGATCCATTCGCTTTATTCCAAACGTTTCGGACTCAATTCGAGCCTTCTTCAGTGATTCTAATAAAAACAAAGAAAAAGTACATTGCGACGCCTCTTACGTGGGACAAACGGGTCGCCTGTTAAGGACGAGGATCAAAGAACATAGAAGGAATCTTACGTCCGTCATTGCCGAACATAGAGCGCTTAGTCACACTTTCGATTTCGACGATGTTGAGATTTTGGATGAAGAAATGCTTTTAGGAAAAAGACTAATATCCGAAATGATTCATATTAAGCGCCAAAAGAAGTCGTTGAACCTCCAAAGCGACACTTTAAAATTGAATGCTTCGTGTTTGTCGATTATTGAAAACATGCCAAAAATTTAACGGGTTGTTTTTCTGTTTGACTGGCTTTGTCCTCGTTATATTTAGTTTGTTATTGCCGACCACACTATGACATGATTACCGTTATCGTTCAAATTATCGGCCCGTTCGACTGTTACCGTGTCGATTATTTCGTCTCGTTTTTGCTGATTTGTCTTTTGTCTGAGTGAGTGAGTGTCCTTTGACTAACGTTAATGAATTTCTCTCGCTTTTAAGACATGTGACTAGTTTTGATTATATATATTTTGTCAGTGCATCGCTCTTCGCGCTTTGTACCGCTGAGAGGGCTTTTGCATCGTGCTTTCTCGGATGGATCAGCCTTGACGAAGTCGTGTCGCTCTTATAGACCATGCATTCATGTGACTATGCTTTCTCCTCTCTTTTGTATTTTACCGATATTGCGTTTCTATTTTGTTCTCATTTGATTTATGTATTTTTTCTTTGTTTTTATTAGAATCACTGAAGAAGGCTCGAATTAAGTCCGAAACGTTTGGAATAAAGCGAATGAATCGTTAAAATTGAATCACTGCTTTGGAAATTATTTTATCCACGCCCCACAACTGCATTGGCTCTTTATTGCCTTTCATTATTCATTTAGTTTACTTAATAATTATTGCTATAAATGCACACAATATTAATATGTGCAATAAGTAATATGTTTTTAATATGTTGAAGACATCACTATTGACATTGTTTATAATATGTATTATTACCTTGATATTAGAATATATTTTTTCCTGAAATAGAAAGATATTGGACAGATATTCTAAAGCTTTGAACATAGGATACCATGCCACGTAGTCTGTTTCTCGTGATAGATATTTCGTAATACTCCAGAATACAGTGGAATTAAGTTGATTTGTTATCATTAAGTGAAAAGCATCATCGATAATTCGGGCACGATTCAAAACATGTATTTTCCTATAATTTTCAGAATTTAGATAACTTACAAGTCTTCGCCAGTTCTCGATATCGTAATTGACTCGATAATATCCTGTCGAATATAAATAAATTGTTTATATATATATATATATATATATATATATATATATATATATATATATAATCCTTTCAAAGGGTTTATCAGTACAAGTATCTGTTTATACTTTTGTGCTTATACTTTTGTACATTAATAGAGATCAAAAATATATTATAAAGTGAACATAAAAGGAAATGCAAATTGTATATTATATTAGGTATAAAATCATTTTGCATGAAAATTGAATATTTCTAATAATTGTACGTATGTATGTATATATAATGTATATAATAATAAATGTAATGTATATATAATACATAATATAATGAATAATATTTTTAGTAATGTAAATCTTTCTCTTCAATGTGTACGTATGATAAACACTATAAAATGTAATAAATTTATTGCAAACTTACCAGTTTGATTTAGATTAAATACTATAAAGTCACCCAATACCATATCATACGATATGTAATCATCCAACATCATCATCATCTCATTTAAATTTATATTTATTTTCATTTTTACTACGTTCACTACAGGATAATAATTTCGTTGTATTGTAGAGTTAATTAGTTGCCTTATAATATATAAATTGTCTGTAGATATTTGAGTGTACGAAAGATTCTTCATAATTTCACCAAAATAGTTAAAAGTTGAATTGCTAAAGTTATAAAATTTATTCAAAATTTATTGATATGTTAACGAAAGGTATTATAAGCAAATATATATATATATATATATATATATATATATATATATGTATTTATATATAATAATTATCACAATATAAAATTGTTAATTATATTTTATGTTTAATTTAATTAAATATATAATTAATTACATAATTAATCATATGATTTATAGTTTTTATATGAATTTGATGCTACAGTTTAAATTATAATTTAAAAGGAATGGCCAAACTTGATTACTTTTAAAAAATAAGTGTATATGTAAGTTGAAAATATATCTTGAATATTTAATGACATTGAAGGTAAAAAGAAATGGTAATAATAAAGATAATAAAGTATGAAAGAAATGATGTAAGTTTAAATAAAAATAAAATAAATAAATTTAATTTAAATAAAAATAGTAATTATAGGAGTATGGTGTATTATTTACTTGTCCTTTACATATATACGGATACTTTGCCAAAATATCTCTTCAGTAATCATTTCTTGTAATATACGCAATACACTGTAAACTATAATTTACATCACAATATGAATAAGATAAAGTTATAGTAAATACTAATTAATAATTATAATAAAAGTGCATAAAACATCATTACACATCATCGATTTTAACATCATTTGAATATGTCATAGAGGAAGATTTCCTGAGTAATTCCGCGCAAAAAAGGAAATGAGAGGCGACATTGGTTAAAAAGATATATGCTAAAGTTAAAGTTGACAATTTTAATACTTTTCTTAAGCAAACTGATATTAAACACATTAATTTGCAATTGAAAATTACATATTTTTTCTTAAAAACTGTTTTTTCTTTGAAAGACCAATTGATTCGTCTCATTATTTAATACATAAAATTATTAAGGTAAGATAATCAAAAAATAAATATTTTACTAGATATTTACTAGATATTTACATTGAAAGACCAATTGATTCGTCTCATTATCTAATTCATAAAATTATTAAGGTAAGATAATCGAAAAATAAATATTTTACTAGATATTTTATAGCTTATGTAAAATTAAGATATAACTTGAAAAGTACTCAATAAAAAAATACTTTATTATAGCGTTTTGAAAAGCTCTCGAGGTAATCTACAAGAATATGTAATAGAGATTTTCATGTAAAAAAGTATTAATGACCTTGACCTGACTTTGACAAGGTCAAGTCTATATTTTCATCATGTGTACCCCTTCAAACTACACTTCAAGCTACGCAACTTTAGTTTGAAAAATTTTTCAATAAAATCATTGGTTCGCGAGATAATCGACTATATCAATTAAAAAACATCCTGTATATGTAATATATTTTATATATAATTTTATATATTACAGCCTTATTATGTATATATGTGTGCATGTGTATAATGAAGAGATTATACAGAATGTCAGAAACATTTTTGCAGCCCCGAAGTGTAAATTGGCACAAATTAAGAAAGAAGATACTATACTATTTTACGATATTTGCAATAATTAACGAAAAATTAATTAAAAAAGATCGGCCAATGCGCGTGGCTAGAAGTGCTCGGCGGTGAAGGCGGTCTCACTGTAATATAATAGCGGCGCGCGGCAAAACAATGATTGAGGAAAGGAGAAGCGATGAGTGTGTAGGCGCGCGGCGAAGGCTCTTCCCCTCCTCAATCACTGCTGTTTCTAACATCCTGTATATAAAATTAAAATTTTTATCAGTTATTTTATTTGTTTTTTAAGCATTTATTTTCAAAAATTTACTCATAATCAATTTTTATTTATATTATCATACCTTTAATGTAACTGTAATGTTCAAAAGAAATGTTGAATAATGTATTATAAAGTGATGTATTATATTCAGTATCGAAATGAAGGGATTCTTGTTGACTTTGTATCACAAACAAGTCCATGATCCGGGTACTTGGGAGAGTCTATAAAAAATAGTTTAAATGTATTTACTTATTATAATTAATATTAGATTTAACACGCAACAGCAATATGCATTAGAGCTGTTACTTTCTACGTGTATGTAAAAATATCTCTTATACTCTTATACTCTTATACTCTTAAAATATAAAATAAATAATTTAAAAATATAAAGTATTAATTTAATAACAAAAGTGATTACTCAACATATAACTTTAAAATTAATATTTTTAGAATTATTAAAATATACTATATTATATAGCAAAATTATCTTACACAATTTCTACATGTATACATATATTATGTGGAATCTGAATGATAATTTTTCTTTTTTTATATACAATATTTTAAAGTCGGACAAATGTAACATAGTGACTTTGATACACATACACAAAATAAAAGAAACATAAAAATGTAAAAATATTTTAAATTATCTATGTATGTTGCATTTACTTGAAAATTACCATTTTTAAAAAACTTATTTTTCTTTGTAAATATCTAATCTTTGTCTAATATTGTGATTTATAAAAAAATTGCTCGCTATAATGATAAACATTTAACTTTACACAGCCCCAAATGGCTTGACCTTGACATATATTGTCACAGCACTAACAAGGAAAGGTACCCAACTGTCACTCACGGATTCTAATGAAATTTTGTACACTTGTAAAACTATGCAAAATAATAGACACGTATTTTTTTATCTGCGGAGAAGATATCATATTGTTATGTATATATCTATATATATATATATATATATATATATATATATATATATATAATATTGTTTGCTAGTGAATAAAGTTTGCGCTAAAGAATGCTTAAAATAACCTGATTGGTGACATATAATCCAAAAAATGCGACAATAGCCTCATTTAACAAAGACGATAACGGCCAAAGTGGATTTTCATAATAAAAACATTCCTGTATTATTTTATGGGCTATGAAATAAGCAACTTTGATTTTAGTCGCAACAAAATCTACATTGTCGTTGTAGATAATATCTGCTTCTCTGAAAATTACAAAAAATGTTTTATATAATGATTATTTCCAAATTTATAATTAAATGATTCTGTAAAATTAACATATTAATTATTTAGTATTATAATCTTTTATTTCTAATGCTCATTACGAAGTAATGAAATATATTGGAAGCGAGTATCACACTATATATATATAACTTTTTGATCGATAAAAGTGAAAACCTTAATATAATACTTTTACCTATTCTTATACCTTAATATAATTATTTAATTTGCAATTTTATATTTTAATTTGTAATTTTCAATTTTAAGATTATAAAATATATATATTTTAATATTATTCTTCATTCTAATATTATTCTATAAGTTGATGTACATTGAAGATAGATTGTCCAGAAAGTTATTGTGATTTTTAACCTCTAAGTTTAAATACGTACATTTTAGCAAGTGAACTTTAGCAAATGAAAAGAGAACCATTGAAATTTAAATATTTTTGCCAACGAGAAACAATATTTATTTATTCCTGTAGCATAAAATTTAGATTTCGAGAAACGATAAATTCTTGGAAGGCGTTTCTGACAGTAGCTTTATTGTTAAAGGTTTTCCCATGCAAGAAATTATCGAAATGTTTAAAGAAGTGATAGTCAGTTGGAGAAGAAGATGGGTGAATAAGATGGATGAGACAGAGTTTCATGGAGCTTCATAACTTAATTGATTAATGCAGCATCGGCGTGTAGTCGATCATTATCATGTCGAACAATTGGAACTTTTCTGTTGACCAACATCTAATGCAAACGTGTCAGTTCCTGATGGATTTTGCCAATTTCTTGATAGTACGTCTCTGCCATAATAATTCCGAATTTAAAAAGTTGTAGTGAATTATAACGGCTGACGACTACTAAATAGTCAGTATAATATGATAATTAAGTAATCGAGCACTAAGAGCCTACAAAACGCGGATGGCAATGCGTAAATTATTTCGAACATTAACTAGTCAGTATAATCTTCTTTAATACAATTTTGGTTTCGGAGAGTGTTTTGGCGCTCCATCATGGTTCAACCATTGTGCAAAACGTCGACGATTATCGTACAAGATCCATTTCTTATCGCACGTTACAATGCGATCGAGAAATGGATTATTTTGTTTGCGCAAAATCAATGCAGAACACACCTCAAAGTGACGATTCTTTTGATTTTCGCTCAATTGATGCGGCATCCATTTGTCGAGCTTTTTTGTTTTTCCAATTAGTTTTAGATAATCAAAAACAGCTGACTTGCTTACGCCAAGTTTTTCCGCTAGTTCTCGAATCTCAAATCGATGTGTCTGTTTCAACTGACACATTCAAGTGGTCGTCGTCAATAATCGCAGTCGTCTAGAACTTTTCAACTTCAAGGCTCTCATGTCCACTGAAATTTACGGAAATCATTGCATTGTACGTTCATTAGCGATACCTGGACCAAATGCATCGTTAATATTGAATGTCTTCAGCTGCTTTACGCCTCATTTTGAATTCATATAAAAAATCGTTAAAATTTGCTACTTTTTTATTCTTAATTTCATAGCTTAAATATAATGCAAACCAATATCAAAATACAGATATTTTTATTAAAATGTAGAGCGAAGTTTGCGCTTTTAAATTGATATAACATGATAGATACAAAAGAAAGACAACCAAGAAAAAAGTGCCAAATTATAAACAACAAAAATCCCAATAATTTTTTGGACAATAATAAACTGGACTAATAATAAACAATTAGATATGCTCCTCTCATTGCTTCATACAATTTTACTTAGTTTTTAAAATATATTCAAATAATATTTTAATAATAGAGAAAAGATATGTAAATAATTTTAGTTATCCAGAATTGTTATTCTCTTTTTCATCTTTAAAATATATATTAATATTTTCTAATTATATAGTTACCCGTAAAGAATAAGGCCTAGATTTATGATGCTTTCGTTTCGAAAATCTGGAAGTGCAATATGATTTATTTCCCAAGTTTTATTCAAACGTTTCCATTTATCGAACAAGTACGATGTTATATGTTCAGCAAATTGGTGTGCAAATTCGCAATGCATTCTACACCACATATTAACTCTGACACTTTTATTTGTACCAGGCATACGGGATAAATTATTTCGGTTAGTCAGAAATAGTAGATAAATAGGTTTTACAAGCGTATGAATAAGTGTCATGTTTTTATCATTCCTTTCTATTTTTTGTATCGGTTCATTTGAAAAAACTGTATAATTTTCATAATCTTCGACAATAATTTCATACATGGGCTTCTGAAAGATGGCACTTAAAGGTTCGGGCAAAGACGGAATCATGTGTTGGATTCCAATACAATCAACATACGTTGCCAACCTATCACATTTAGAAATATGAATTAACAATAATAAAGACACCGCAAAACCTGATGCAAAAGTGGTTTCAATGAAATTGTATAAAAGTTGCATATATTTTACTTGTGCGGGATTCGTATAATGTCTATTTTAGTATATACAGGTACAAAATAAATATTTAATATTTAATATTTTAGTATTAAAATTTTAATGCGTTTAATAAAATTAAAATAAATTTCAATATAAAACGATATTAGGATAATAATTTTTTTAAATTGATTATAACTTTTTTTAATTGATTATAACTTTTTTTAAATGATATATTATCAACAATTTTGTACATAATTTTATACAAGTGAAAGATACTGCTTATTTTAGTGATAGTTCATTAAATGAAACACATATGTACATATGTCTTAGTTATTAACAAAAATAGTATTATTTTTAAATAATATGGCTGTGTGTAAATACATGTTTAAATACATGAAACAGCATAAGTATAGCTTATATATTTAATTGTATGTATTATATGCAGAGTGTTTATGAAAGTTGTATGTGTTCATGATCTAACCAAATTTTGATAATGATTTTTATGGACTATAAGGATAAAAAGAATTCATATAAACATGTATCTGGAAATGTTTCCCTTCTAAACTATAGACTTTTTTAAATTAGAAATGAATTTCCTAAAGTTTGGTATTGTCAAAATAAACAGTGTAAAATTTAATTATTTGTTCAAAATTTCAAATTTCATATAAGCAACTAGAAAATGTTCGCGAATGAAAACGTCGGTGCGGGAGGCGCGCGAAAGAGTTTGATAAAAGGACACCACACGATTGCGAATAAAGACGAGCCACGACACGTAATTTTTTTGGTTTTTATTCAGTTTTATTTTTACGGCACCACACAACTAAATAGAGAAATTAATATTGTCAACATTGATGACACGCGTTTCTTAAGCGATGAAAAAACGAGAGATAATGCGGACGATTGAGTTTTTCTCGAAATAGAGATTTTGAGATGTTTTTCGATGCCCGTTAGTTTCAAATTCTCGAGCTTTTAGTAGCAAAAAATGCGGATTTTTGTCAATGCGAATTTTAAACTAGACTGCACTAAGTAAAATATATGCATATGCAATTGTGCACGTTTAAATTTTCGCGAATGATTAATCTTTAAAAAAAAATTTACGTACTACCATCCACGGTGGCTCTTAATTGATCTTTTCTTGTGTATCATGTTGTTCATATAAGCAAGTTTTTTAGAAAAATATAAATCCTTCAAAATTATACTTATATTTTGAAAACAATTCAAAACTCTATCAGAATATTAAATTTTGTTCGAGTGTTAACAATAAAATGCTGTATAAGACATGTGTTATTGCTGACTACTTTAATTAAATTAATTTTTATTTACATTCATTTTAATAATAATGATAATATTAAATTGCAAAATTTTTTACCAAATAATGATTTAAGAAACATGTAATTAAGAATGGAAACATTTCAAATACGTACGTGTCTATGTATAAATGTGTTTTTCTTAGAAAATACTTTTTAAATAGAAATAAAGTGATTTATCAGGACTTGATCATAAACATCGTGAAATTACTATATATTTAACATTTTAACATTTTAAGTTACTTACCATTGTCGCCCATCTCTTTTATAAAAGGTTTTTAGGCCTGTATCTTCAGTTATATTATAAACTAATTTTATGATGTAATATCCTGGCCATAGATAATCAGCAAATATATATTTTACAATGTTTTTCTTAACATCATACATAGATTTTATCGATGCATAAATGTTCTTTTCTTCAATATCATTGTTAGAATAATAATTTGGATAATAAACCACAGTTAGACTAATATTTTTTACGTGTAAATATAATAATATGCTTGATGTTGGATGTATAATCTCTGTCCGTATAATGCAGTGGCAGACAAGAATATTTTCTTCGATATGTGTAACGATGATATCATAACGATACGGTAATATATAATTCGAGTGCCTGTTTATCTCTGCTTGAGATATTTTAATTATTTGATCGTCGGTTAAAAAAACCGCAGCGACGATGATTGTTAAACTGCTGCTTAACAATAGTTTAAGAAACATGATACTACTTTTATCTTAGATATCTATAAAAATATATTTTTGTTAGAAAGTACAAACGGACAAATAAACACAGCACTGTCTCTACCATGATTTAATGGAAAAGATGGAATTAAGACAAATATATAAAAATAAACTTAATTTTGAATACTTACTCTGTATAATGAGATATACTACAAATTCTAAGCAACTGTATGTTTTGTTACAATAATTAGCTGCAATAAATTAATGTTTTATCCACTATTATTGAAACATGAAAAATATATATGCGCACTTGTGATTTCTTGTTATTTCGAGAAACTTCCAAAAACTAATAACACTTGGCGATATTACAATAAATGTGTATGCCATATGTAAACACACAACTTCTGAGGTCGTTAACAGACGTTTCGATCGAGAAATGGTATGTAATAACAAAGTACGGTGCCGTTCTTCCCACTCCAAATTTGTGCTAGCGATCGAGCGCCGTGAGATGGCAAAATCGTCTATTTCGCGTTGGTCTAAAGCAAAAGAGGCCGTTACGTAGAATGCAAAATTATCTGTAAATATATATATTTGAATTCTTTTATACTGTTTAAAAGTAATATATTCCTTTACCAAAAATTTAAGAATTTTTATAATTTATAATATACATTCAAATAAAATATTATTAACTATATTATTACGAGTTTATATCAGTAAATTGTCTTTAAGCAAGTTAATGAAAAACGTAACTTATTAACATTAGAGTATAATATACAGTATCGTATATAAGAGAATATAATGAATAACTATTATTTTTTAGGTTTTTGTTCACTCTTTCAAATTTATATGGTAGATATATGAATAAAACAACGGGAAATCTCTCAAATCGATCAAATCATTAATCGTGTTGGTAATGATATGAATTACGTGTAATTAATAAATAAAACGACGGGAAATCTCTCAAATCGATCAAATCAATAATCGTGTTTTTCTCATAACAAAACAGATTTTTAAATTAAAATTAAATTTTTCTTATAATGTGGAATAAAAATGTTATAGAGATAGCGTGTTCCAAAAATTATGCCATATCATTTAGTATTAAATTAAAAATATTAATAGTACATTAATAAAACACATTCGTAAAAAATACTTTTTATAGGATTTAAAATATTAATAACATTGTATTATGTGTTCTATTGCATAACTATTGCATTAATTCGTGTTAACCTATCCATCATTATTAAATTTTTGATAAACTAATGACTCGTATAATATTAAAGTATGCGAATCATCATACCACGTAATAAAATGTATTACACTAATGATTAAATATTATTTTTAAAAGCACAGTAAAATCCACGCAGCATATATGCTCGTGTTTACATTCGACATCCGAAGACTTGGAAGGTTAGGTTAGATTAGGCTAGATCGAAAAAGTTATCGTTTGACAGTTGGCATCCCTACAAGATTCCTGTGCAAGCAGTGCACGCGCGCATACAAAATAAACTTCAAATCGCTTCTAGTTTAACCATCTTCACGCGATCGGCTTTATTTAAAATGCATCGCGTCGCATCGAATTATGATGCGGCGCCGATTCGCCCAAACGTAATTCGAGACATCGCAATGCTGTATAAGCGTCGATGAGCACGAATTGTCACGCAAATATGACAAATCAAATCAACTCACCGTTCATCAGCTGCTTCACAGATCGCTCCATTCGCTCGTCTCGGGATATCTCATTTCAATCTTGATGCACACAAACTCACAAAATATCATCAACGCGAACGCGCGACACTTTATTCGGCACTCCCGATACTCGCTCGTATCCGATAATCATCATCAAAGGCGCGAATAACGCGACGCAATTTCGCTCCACCTTCGCGATGACGCCACTGAATACTGTCAAAAACAGCTGTCGCGCGCTTCCATTGATGTATTATGAAAGTCGCGCGATCATCCTTGGACACTCTCAACGCTCGTTCATTCACGATATTCGTTTATTTACGGTTAAAAGACGCGAAAAATGCAGATGTACGACGATCCGTGTAACTGCGTATTCGACTCCGATTACGTAGGACGAATGCAATGACGTAACTAACATGGCGGCCCAACCGGTGCGCATTCATTTCTGCGCGTGGCCATTAAGCGTTCAACGTTCGCGCTACTTTGATTTCTGAATATTGTCTTTGACTTTAATTAATAATAAATATATAAAGATAAAATCAATTAATTGTATTAGTCATATTATGTAGATTTGTTCGAAGACAGAGAGAAAAAATTGAGATATTTTTAATTTCCTATAGTAAAGAATGAAAATATCTATTCATATTCTTGTTTTTCTTTTCCTCTTTCGCGCGATTTCGATTTAATATATAATGTAGAAAATGCACAGCATATTGGATATATTTTTGTATATGCACAACTATAATATTCCCGCGGACATTTTTTAACACTTACAATATTCGTATATATACTGTACCTTGTTCTTGATATTCACTTTTAAAAGAATAAAAAGGAGTGAATATAATCCATCCGACTTTCACTGCCTAAAAATGACGGCAGCCTAATGTCAGCACGGTTTTCTTCACGATGCGTTTAATTATTGTAAATTTAAATCAAAGAGAAATAATCGACTAGTAAATTTTAGATTACAATAGAAATGCAAAGAAAGAAAATTATTATATCTAAAATAATAATTTAATTTGAAATATAATCTTTCTTCCTCAATCTTTATTTCCTAACATCTTTATTTCTACTTATGTGCAAACAAAAACGCAATTTGTTTGAAAATGTGCAAACGAAAATCTATGAATTAAGTCTTTAGGTTAAGAAAAGAATTTTGGAAAATTTGACAAAATAAAACTAATGAAATTGTCAATAAGCGATCTCGCATATTTATATTTTTATTTATATTATTTATTTTATTAGAGACACTCCAGTCTTTGTCATTTTATACAAAATGTAACAAAGATATATAGATGTATTCGTGTCACAATTGTTACTTTTATTAAACGGTTATTGCTGATATTTGCAAAGTTGCGAAGAGTTAACGCGTTACTTATAATATCGTTACATTTTTTTCGGTTTTTTACCGTTACTTTTTTTCGGTAACGATCGTTACTTTTTTCTGTCTGTAACGATAACGGTAACGTCGTTACATTTTTACAGTAACGGTAACGAATTTAACCGTTATCTTTTATATTAACCGTTTACCTTTTATCGTTACTTTAATTCTGTAATCTTGGATAGTATCCTCTTAGTAATTGAAAAATCTATTTCTATTACAAAACAGTTTACAAATATTTTAGAAAATTATATACATGCATGATGTTTTCTCTGTATTCATAAATATAAAATTTCTAAATTACAATAAATGAAAAATTGAATATGAAGAACATCAATGATGGATTAATTTATAATTTTCAAATATATAAAAGTAATAATTATATTTTAAAATAAATTAATTTAATTTTTGTATTATAAAAAGTAAAGAAGAAATAACGAATCGTTGCTTTCTTAGTAATGGTAACGGTAACGAGTTATTCGCATGTCGATGTATAACCAAAAATTAAGCATAACCAAAACGGCTCTTTTGACGCGGTACTTTTTCGAAAAAACGTTTCCTCCTCTGGATATTTCACAAAATTTTGAAAGTAATTCTGTTGACTTTTGATTTCGAAAAAACGCATTTGTATCTTGCTTTCAATATTTAAAATATATTGCATTTGTATCTTGCTTTCAATATTTGAAGTATTTTGCTGTATACATCCGAAATATTCTGCTGATTGTGTCAAATTGCTTGTCTAAAACAGATTATATCG